CAGACGGCAAATAATCGCATTAAATAATTTAACTTATCCAAATAAAAACATTCAATAAAAATTATTCAAGATTTATAAAATTTTTAAAATAATCTTTACTCTATTTTATTAAAACTTAAATTAAAATTTACCAAGCAAAATACAATTAATAAAAATTAAATTATTCTGCAAAATAAAAATACAAAAAGGAAAATTACAAAGAAAATTACTAAGAAATAATTTGTTATCAAAAGATTTATACAGGGTGTCCCATTTTAATCGATCACCTCAAATATCTCTTGAACAGTGCATTTTAGAGAAAAATGTTTCAGACAAACGTTTTGGGACTTCGAGAGGAACATAAGATGATAACATTTGATTTGACCCTGAGTGGCGTCGTCAAGGTCAGGACAAAGTCACTTTGAATTTTTTAAATGGAACCCCCCATTTTTCATTAAATATTCTTGTAGCACACTTTGAGAGCTTCCCAAAACATATAGATAGTTTCTTAGTTTCTTATGAAATAGTTTCTTATGAAATATAGATAGTTTCTTAGTTTCTTATGAAATAGCTTCTTATGAAATAAATCTTGAGTTATGAAGCTTGAAAGTTGGAGTACCGTCGGCATTGGCATCATCCTGGGTGTCCGAACACTAGCTAAAACCTTTTGAATGTTGTTCAGGATCATGACATTGATAAAACATATAAAGGTTGGAAATTGTTTCTTTTTTTTTCAAAAAATAAATATAATTTTCACAAATGAAAATAAAAGCAATAACTTTTAATAGCCTTGATCTTGACATGTGTTGTTTAGATCATGAGCCTGAACAACATTTAAAAGGTTTTAGCTAGTGTTCGGACACCTTGGATGATGCTGATGATGCCGACGGTACTCCAACTTTCAAGCTTCATAACTCAAGATTTATTTCATAAGAAAACATTTTATTTATATGTTCTGGAAAGCTCTCGAAATGTGCTACAAGAATATTTAATAAAAAATGGGGGGTTTCATTTAAAAAATTCAAAGTGACCTTGTCCTGATCTTGACGACGCCACTCAGGGTTAAACCATTTTTATCATCTTATGTCCCCCTCGAAGTCCCAAAACTTTTGTCTGAAACATTTTTCCCTATAATGCACTGTTCAAGAGATATTTGAGGTGATCGATTAAAATAGGACACCCTATATCTTTCTCACCCTATCTTTTTCTCCGTATAAATCTTTTGATAACAAATGATTTCTTAGTAATTTTCTTTGTAATTTTCCTTTTTGTATTTCTATTTTTTGCAGAATAATTTAATTTCTATTGATTTTATTTTGCTTGGTAAATTTTAATTTAAGTTTTAATGAAA